AGAGAGAGAGAGAGAGAGAGAGAGAGAGATTCTGCGAATAATCACGAGATGGGGCTTGGTAATTCCAAATGTAGCGAAATCAAAGTTTTAACGTTGCACAATAAGCTTATTTCGTAATCGTTCAGAGTTGTTTATAAACGATATCGTGCAGAGTGTGAAATATTTGGAATTAATTAAAACACTCTCGACGTGGAACAATAATTCAACTACCTCTCTGTACATAATAATTCACGATTGAAAAGAAAGTTGTTTTCAATTTCCAGGCAAACAAATGATTTCTTTTGCAAAATTATTTGGCGAGCCAATTGTTATGCAAATGTTCAGTTAAAATACTGTTATATTAAAAATGAAAAAATTGATTTTATAAATTTCATTTACGAATTATGTAAATTAGAGAATTTTTTCCTTTAAAAATGAATGAAATATGTTTTAAAATCACAAGGCTTTTCATGATTTTCAACATAAATTATTATATTTTAACATTTTGTTTTAATTAAAAGTTATAAACTGACTGTGCAAAATATTTACTTCAACAATTCTTCCCTTTTTCTAAATTAAGTATGGCATAAGGAGTCGTTGGACCATCCATGAATCTACAAATATATATATATATATATACAAAGTTTCGAAGTGATTAATTAAAGATAATCTCGTAGAATTTTAGCCGAGTCTCTTTTCCTTGAATAGTTTTACTTCAAGTATTTTACAGGATCGATTAATCTTTCAGTTATATGCATATCACGACACGAAATGCTTCAATGATTGGCAGTAACTATCTCTTTTATTCTCGATTTCTTTCTATTTTTAGAAAACTTGTAACTCGTGTAATATACGATAATTTAATATCAAAAGTATGTCGGATAGATATTTACAAAAAAAAGATATCAGATAAAAGATCAGATAAAAGATCTCTTCGATCTCGATGATTTTTTTTCTTCGAAACAATTAGGTTAAGTTAGGTTAGATTTTAATCAGATTTATTGCTACAGATAATGCACATCGTTAAATTGACTATTTATTTAATTTTGATTCGAAATGAACTTAAACTTCAGAATTAATATCACTAATTAACAATCGATGTCAAACAAAAATCTATTTAATTTCTTGATTTATATTAAATTTTGCGTTTAGATTAGATCAATAAACAAGGCCAATTAAAACTTGTACAACACTACTTAAGGTGATAATTTTGACAGTATATAAAAAGATTATTGAGATCAGAGGATGATAAGTAAATTTTGTGAATAATCACTGTATATGAATTAAACGAAAAATGAAATATATGCAAATGAAAATAACAAATACATACGAATGAATAAATTGAAACGGAAAGTAGTATAAGTAGAGATTAAGTCAGGCGTAATCAAGATTCTCTTTCTTTATCTAGATTAAAAACGTTTCACTTGATAATAACAATGGTTTACGGATCGTATGTCGTAATTTTGTAGCAATCGCAATCCGTGATTCTAAATTCCGTCTCTCGTATTCTCATAACGTCAGCTCAGACTGCTTCGACCTACCTTCTACATCGGCTTCTTCCTATTGCTAGTAGCTCCTCGGTAGTAGGTCGTGATCTTCTTAGATGCGTGGAATTGTCGCAACGAAACTCGTTATCTCGTGTCTGGAAACAGAACAAGCCTTCTAACCATAGTGTCACGGAATGGAATACGACAGATGTTCGTCAACTATACTGAAAATCGTGGATAAATAAAAATCAAAATTAAGCGATATATTAGATCCATGCCATATTTAATTTCTTATATTTCGATATTTTTTATTCATCATTTTTTTCAAATATTTTTTAAAAATATTAAAATATTTTGAATTTATTTTCCTTACTATTTTTTCTTTAGATAATATGTTATATTTGCAATTGTTGAAAGTTTGGAATATTTTTCTTTAATTAAATATTCATTTCAATTTTTATTTCTGATTGTTATTTTTCTAAAAAATATTTTAGATTTTTTTTTACCACTTTTTGAAATATCAAAAATCTTGATTGCTTTTATTTAAACAAATATATAACTCATTTTCTATTTTTAAATTTTATTTAAAAATATTTCAGATTTAGTTTCCAAAACATTGGTGTATTTGCAACTGAAAGTTAATCCCAAATGTGTATTTTTGCAGATAAATACGACACATTTTCAGAGTAAATAGCGATAAATCTTTGACCCTTACCAACCTTTATCTTCGTATTTTCAACCATCTACAAATCCACGATTTACAACAAAACCTCTTTTTCTTTCCGATTCACTTTCACAATTAAAAAAATAATTGAATAATATTTTCTTCATTTTTTCTTATATCAACAACCAATTAATAATTTCGATTATTTTCTATATTGGCATATATTCATTTTTCGAAAAGCTATCGACTCCATTCGAATTAAACAGCGTTATGGCCTAGACGTCACCGATTACGTTACCCTGGAAGTAGCTCGAACGAAACTCGTTATACCTGATATCAGAGTCATCCGGAGAAGCAGGTAAGAAAGAGGGATGCGGCGAATCGGTGGAACGAGATCGTCTGGAACGAAGAGAAAGAAACTCAAGCGAGGCACGTGTTCGAGAAACGAAGCAAACCTCTAGTCTAACTTCTCTCTTAGACGAAGACGATACTAAAAAACCACGTGCGCGAGAGTGAGAAACAGAAACGTATAAGCGACAAGGAGAAGTAAAGAAAGAAATAGGAGGAGGAAAAACCGACAAGGAGAGAATTCTCGAACTATGATAGAGAAAAGAGATAGGTATCGAAGGAATAGAAATTAGTGGAAGAAAAGGGAAAGGAATAAAGAAATTCGAAGAGGAGAGAAATATTCGAATAATAAAGATGGAAATAAGTAGAAAGAAAGGAAGATAATATGACAAATAAAGATATCAGTAGAAAAATGAAGAAAAGTCAACGAGAAGAAAAACATGGAGCAAAGAAACGACAAAGAGAAAAGATAACGAAAAAGAAAAGAAATAAGATAAGAAAATCTGAAAGAACCGATAAAGAGAAGTACTATCAACTAAAAAGGAACGTGCAAACGTGACAAGGAACAAAAGCCAAATTTGACGAAGAAACTTCTAATATATATGGAATGTAAATTTTGAAAACGAAGAAAACTGAAAAAGAGATATAAACGTGTAAGAGAGGCCCTTACGCAGAAAAGGAAACGTAAAACCGTGAGACGAGGATACAATCCAGCAACCTCGATAGAGAAAAGGAAACGCGCAAGCTGGGCTAAGAGGGGCAAGAGAGCAGTAACGGGAGTCGAGGAGGTGGAGGATGAGGTGGAGGAGTAGGAGGAGGAGAGGAGAGATTTGTGAAGGTACGAGAAAGCAGCAGAGGTAGCAGCAGTGGCAGCAGCAGTGCCCGGGCATCAGGGCCACAGTTTGTAATGCGCATGCGCTAACGTATGTACGGTAGACGGTTGTTCCTGGTGCGGGCTGCAGGCGGCACGGAGCGAATGGGGGGGCGCGGGGTGGATGTCAGAGGGTGCCCGTAGGAAGTTTATCGGCGGCGAGTGGCGGTGGGTGGGAGCGGTGGCTGAGGAGGAGGGGGTTGTAGGTGGACGGTGTGGAAGTGGAGGAGGAGGAGGCATACTCCGTACACCGAGGATTTCCAGGTAGCAGACAGTCTACGGCCCGGGACAGAGGGACCAGGACCAGCCTCGGGAAGGAGAGCTCGTCGTGGACCCTCTTCTCCTCTCGTACACATATCGTGACCTACGTATTGAATCATCGTTTAGTGTTGCTAGTGTTAACCTTGAACGTAATGCAAGGTTCACGATTCAGTGTGATAATGAAATAGGATAATAAACTCGACAAATCATCATCGATCTTTTGATGAGATTATATTGCTAGTGATTGGTAGTTGCCTTCGATAGATAAATATATCGTGATAGATACATATCGAACGTTGTCATTGGTGGATTATATCGAAGAAACCACCAATTATTGGTGGAGAAAAAGTTTGAAAAGAATTGAGAAGACG